TAATTTACAGAAGGAGTAGCCATTTAGATATCTGCAGTTTATATTAGGTAAGACATCCACTCATCTGTGTCATAACCCAACCACTAGCTAAAAGGGGTTATGAAGAAACTTGCCCTACGGGTGATTTATTTGATAGTTATCCACTATGGGGCTTCTTCCACCTTCCTCTGAAGCATTTGGTAGATGCATCAGGCCATTGTCCTAGAAAGGATACTAGACTAGGTAGAACACTGGTATTCTCTGTATAGCAATTTCTACGTTCAGTAGGGAAAAATTATTTTTGTAGCTGAGTTTATGGTGTTGCCCTCTGCAGAGTATTTTATACAGTGCAGCAGGCCAATTTTCTATATTTGCATGCGTCCGCTCTCTTTGTTAATGATATCAAGACTCCCTTTGTGATTACATTTTTAAAGTAATGAATGTTTCTGCAGTCATAACACAGCAGAAACAAAATGTAGTGGGTTTTAGAAAGAACAAATGGTTGGAAGCTAAAGCTAGACAAATTCAGAAAAAGGTGGATATTTTTGAGTGAGTGTAATGAACCAGTGGAACAATTTACCCAGGGAAGCGGTGGATTCTCCATCATTTGATGTCTTTAAATGATATATTCTATAGCTCAAAACAGAAGTTATGGGTTTGATTCAGAGATTACTTGGCAAGCTTCTCTGGCCTGTCTTATGCAGAAGGTCAGACTATACCATCATACTGGTCTCCTCAGGCTTCCCAAACAAAATAAAGCTACAAATCTATTGTCACAAAAACAATCTTCAATGTCTTACCTCTGTCTGTACACGTAACTGGTTGGAAAGACCTTCTTTATCCTGTAGCAATCTCCTTTCTGAATTCTTGAGCTTTTCTACTGCATTTTTTAGCTCCAACAGCTCTTTCTTGGGTTCTATGACTCCATCTGACTGGCTGAAGTCCTCTCCTTTATGGTGTCCCAAGGATTTAGCCACCTTAGCATTTTTGGTAGGAACAACATGAGTTATAGCAGCTTTCGGAACCAGTATTCGAACAGCTTCAATCTCCACTGACTTATCACTGTGTATTTTCCCTAGTTGGAGAACTCCAGGACTCAGGGAAGAGAAAGCTTTCTTGTGTGGACTGTGATGGGCATGACGACTTGTATTGTGGGCTCCAGCAATTACTTCCACAGTTTTAGGTGGCTGCTCAGTTTCCATGCCATCTCCAGGTCCACGGATGGGTGATGAGGCATAGTCGGCTAATTTGGAGATAATGGGAAGATAATATATTTATTTTATTATGCCACTGGGAGTTGCAGAAATTCAAAGAGAATGGCAACAAAACTCTGGAAGGAGCTTGGGTTTTACAATGCATCTGCAAAGCAGCACAGTGCTTGGGCACTGATTCAACTAGGACTCAAAAGGGAAAGCGCACTCAAGTAAGTGTGTTCATTAATCAGTAAGGTCAGTAATACAAAATCCAGCCATCTATCTGATCAGGACTTTTTTTTTTAAGCTTTATTTATATTTACATGCTCATTGCACAAACAAGACTATATAGATAAAATTGTCAACAGCAGCCACTTTGCAGGAAATCTGTATGAACTCACTACATTAGCCACTGAACCTTGACTTCAAAGCCAAGAGGATTTCACTCCTTCATTGCTGAAAGGCATTAGACTGCTTCACAACAACTTTAAAGAGATACTATCAATACAATATATTCATAAGTTTTTTTCCTTAACTGTGTTTAGTAATAACTTAGTTGTAAATCCTGAAAAATTAAAAAAACAAAAACAAAAAACTTTTCACTATTTGTGCTGTTTTACTTCATTGTCCAAAAGGGGGGGGGGGGGAGAGGAGGAAGGGAGGAATGGAAAGAGGAATTAACTAATCACTTCCTGTTTCTGGTTCTCCTGCAATCCTCTCCCCCAGTGCTGGCATGTTTGGGTTTCTACCACTGCAGAGCAATGTTTAATAAAAAAAAATCTAAACACAAACATTTTACTAAACATTTCTGTTGATGCTGGATTTTATTAAATTGCATACAACCCTAAACTGGTTGTAAAATTGTCACTATGTCACACTTCCTGCCTAGAAAATAAGCATTTCCAAGTACTACCACACTGCAGGGACATGGAATGGTTGATCTTCAATGATATTTTCTATTTCTAACATGTATGAGTCTAAATTGGTGAAAGATGTTCCAGAACACCGAAGACTGATGTTTGACTTTTTCATCATATGAGCCAATTTATGTCATCACACTTCAGCAGCACTGCACCCTCTCCCTGGTCCACCAAGGGCACCCATTTTTAGGTTTTCACCTCTCAACCATTACTTTGGTTGGGCAAAAACCTGTGTTTCTCTCCCTTCTGACCAAGGTTTTTCCAGGCTCACAGTTCTCTGCCTACACTATGGTATTCCCAGCAAATCAGACCTGCCTCAGCAGGCCAGCGTCTGTGCATTGCTTTCTCTCCGAAGGCTTATGAACAGTTTAATTGCCAGCAGTTAAAAGTTACCACACAGCCTTTTGCAAGCAAGCACATTTATTCCTAAAATGAAAGCATTACAGAAAAAACTATAAAAAACAATGAGTTCCTGTATGCCTGCTAAAAGCTTACTAGGTCACCCATCTGTCTTATGGGGCCTCAGTTGGCCAAAGTCCTTCCAACCTTCCCCGGCCTCCCTTGGACAGAAGGTCCTGTCCATTTGCTGGATCAGAAAGAAGGCCTTGAGTCTATTTAAAAATCAGGCTATTTATCCATAGGACCTTTCTTTATCTATTGGTCTCTGGAGAATCCAGTTTGAACCAGCATATGTGAGCCTCTCCAGATGGTGATACCTCTCTAGCAGTGTTACAACCTGAGTGAATTTGCCTAAACACCCCTCCACACACACACCCGTTCTTAATTCCTGGAGGAGCTGTGGTAATTCCATGGGGGAGGATGACATACAATCCTTGGCCCACGATACATAAATTTAATACAGTAAGATCTCCCAAAGATATTGCAGGAAATTGCTATATCTGTCTCATATGTAAACCCAGAAATAACTCAAGAGCTCAACTAGTTAACAGATAATAGAGAAGAGCTTTTTAGAATTTAGTTTTTTCAAGTCTAGTCAAGAAATCTTTTTGATAGAAAACTGATTTCTTGCTAATGTAAAACAATATCTGCAATAACTGAATCGGTATCCTTTGCCTCACGCAGTTAGTAAAACAGGGTCTGTTGTGTTCTTTCTTGCCAATGCTAATCTCTCCCTGGTTATTAATGCCTTTGTCACATCCCACCTGAAGTAACACATTATGCCTGCCTAAACCAACATTGAGAAAAGGTGGGACTAAGAAAAAAATATCTTCAGAGAATAAAATTCTTAGGGATTTAGAGTATTCCCAGCAAACCATGTCCATTAAGGTGTAAAAGAGTGACTTCTTACCACTGTTGCACAATAGGCAAGTCCAAGAACAGACTATATACATTTTGCTGTGCCTCACCACTACAGTGTGACATAAGGACAAAGTGAGAATCCTTAATTTTGAATTTCCTAGTTTTGGCAGATTTAGGTACTTTGCCTACAAATTGATCTAAGCCAGCACAAAAGTCTACTTGTGCAAGTCTGTTTGCAAAAGTGGGGTCTTAATGCTTAATTCATTATTCTACTGTAATAAAAGTAAGGGAGCCAAATAAATGCTAGACACCTATCTGCTAGGAACTAGATGAAGAGCATCATCTCAGGCCATCAAAGAGTAATAACTTTCAGTTGTTACTGTCCTGGCCTGATATGAACTAGGGATCCAAAAGGTAAAAGAAAACATTTCATTACCACTTCCACCCAGGCTCTTTACTATATCTCTGCTTTTCACTGCAACAACAAAGATTCCCACAATCTTTCCCCCCTGAGATACAACGTAGAGAATTTTTCACTTGACCACAGCTCAATACTAGATACTGTTTTCACCCCTCAGCTCACAGAGAGCTGAGAAGCTAGCATCTAGCATACACTGCAGCTCTGTTCTTTAATTAAACACCTCCAAAGTGAATACAGAATTACCAGAATGTATCTATTTAGTAAAGGAAGATCACTTACCTTTCTTCCCTAGAGATGTCATTTTCCCCCTTCTGGCTGATGGAGCTGTATGGGAGAGAGGACGACCAAATCTAAAAGAGGAAAACGCCCAGGGTGAAACAATAATTAGTCCTCTAAAACGTGCCTGTTAATTTTGCTAATGTTTCTTCTGAACTCTATTTTGTCCCTCTACGACATGGAGCAGTAACTCCACTGATGTGCGCCTTGGGACAGGACCGGAGCTCTGTGTCTGGAAAGGGCCTAGCACCTTTTGGGAGCGATCACCCTCTCGGGAACGCCAATAACGCGGCTACGTTCTGTCACGACGAGGCAGTTTGTTTTTCTTAGAGACTAACAAATTTATTAGAGCATAAGCTTTCGTGGACTACAGCCGAAGAAGTGGGCTGTAGTCCACGAAAGCTTATGCTCTA